AATAGTTTTGGAATAGTGTTTTTTTTAAGAACGTATGATTAAAAAGTAAGAAGAAATTTTGTATTAAGTGCAAAATATGTTATTGTAAGAATGTGTGATTGAAAATGAGTTTAAAAAGAAAAGGAAAAAAAAAAGAGCTCTTTTAATGGTAGTCAAACAGGGGCTTGATATGGTATCAAAGGTGGAGTTTTGGGGGATTTTCTATTATGACAGCAAAAAGAAAAATTGATAAATTTGATGAGAAGCTTTAAGAGGAGTCATTGGAAATTTTGCTTTGGGGGAGATGCCTGACGAAATTCCTATAGAAGGCCTTGGAACAATTTTAAACCAATGTGAAGATTTGTTCTTTGGTAGTTTTGAAGACAATCTCATATAGAATACAATTTCGATTTATATATCCTATCCATTATAGGAGTTAGTTTGTACGTCCCACCACGTCAAAGAGAAAAGCCTTTATGTTCTATAAATAGGAGATTCCTTAGTACTTCGGTTATATCCCAGATAGTTAATGGCTATCTTGTTGTGAGATATGGGAATCCTATATAGTTTCACCTAGTGTAGATGCTTTTTGCTGGGGATGTCAATTTGAGTACTTTTTGCTCTTTTGATATTATCTCCTAGTATATATTTTGTGTTGGTATAGGTAGATGGGTGAGTTAGCATTGAGTGCGTAATACTCTTTTGTATTCTCCCCAATTAGTTATAGCCCTTGTTTGAGCCCCATTTTTCAACCAAAATACATTCTTAAACAGTAATTTGATATCATTTCAATCACACATTATTCAATAAAATAATATTATACACAAAATCAAAAAAATTTCCTTATTTTTTAACCACATATTTCTACGCTATTCAAAAATTCATTTTCTTCACAAAAATGGGGCTCAAACAAGGGCATAGTAAAGTCGTCCTGTCTCAGCCCCTGGACATATGGCAAAAGCTAAACCATTTTAGTACACCTCTAATTCACGCTTATACTCTAATATAAATTCTATACGTTTAACAGTATTAAATGGCCTGATATGCTTACTGCACAAGGTTAATAATTAATGTCAGTTCACAATTCTTTACCGAATTAATTTGTTGTTTTTAACATATCCATTCAAACTTTATGGCAAAACACCAAATGAAAACAAGGAAACCAGCATACCTTCGAATTTCTTGGTTTTCATTTCTCCACAGAGAAAATTGAACAAGCAGCCTAGTTTACATGTTTAAAACCACCAGATCATATTTAAAAAAAAAAAAGGCAAAGAAAAGAATCACAATGCAACATTAGAAATTACAAGTGACAATGCTTCCAGCTCCTGATCTAGCAGCCAATAGCAGTCACAAACGCAAGCCTCTAGCTTCTAAACATGAAATTGAGTATGCCACCAGTCTTTGGATTCCATTATAGCATGAGACTAGTAAAGTTTCTTATGTTCTTTACTGAAACCAGCACTTTGTTTCTTTTGCTTCTTTTTTCTTCTTCTATTCATTGAGTTTCTTCACTAAATACAAACCTAAATTTGATTATTATTAGATACTACTAGAGCACGTCCGATTTACCTTAAGAAGAGATGAGAATACAGCACTACATAAACAGTAAAATATCACAAATGCAAACAATGATGGCATACCTGGCTTAAAACTGTGGAATCAAGCTTTTCTTTAGGCCCATTGATGCAAACATCCAAAAGGTCAAACCTTGATACAAATTAACATTAATTATTCATTGGACAAGTTATATCAAGAGAAGGGCAACTGAGAATTTGACAACGTAATGCAAGCCCATCAGAACCAAGTTTCATAATAATTAAATCTACCCTAAAATATCATTTGCTCTCTTGTATAATTCAGCTGCAGCAGGCACTTTTTGAGCCTCCACACCCATTCCAACAGCTTGTGCACCCTACAAGAAGAAGGCAGATGAAATTAACTTCTGACTGTGGCATGAGTTTGACAGTAGAAACAAAAGTCAAGCTCAGCTTCATTCTGGCTCTTGTACATGGTTTGAATTCATCATATTGAAGGTTTCCTACAAAAATGGCTTCCTTGCAGACACGTCTTGGGATATCATATCCCCCTCAAAGAATCAACGCCAATTCAGCTCATCAGGATTTCCGTTTTTCTGTTTGGTGCCAGTGTAGTAAGCCCCATAACAAGTAATAATTTCAAATTTCAAACATTATCAAGAAACTATAGAACATCTTTCACTTATTTTACAGGATTCCAACTTCAGTCCTCTAGGAGACAGACACGCTGTTTATGACTTCAGTGAATAAATCACCAACAATCCCCTCAATTACACAAAGTTCGTTTTTTTACTAAAACTACAACTACTGTAGGATAGCTCACAGTAGAAAGGTAGCAACATTTATGAAAGAATCTCCTCTCTCTCTCTCTCTCTCTCTCTCTCTCTCTCTCTCTCTCTCTTTCTCCCTCGCGCCCAACAATGAGCCGTATTCCTTTAAATTATACACAAAATTACGAAAAAATGGTATAAAATAATAATAATAAATAAATAAAAACCTGGCCAGGAAAAAGAAAAGCACGGGAGGGCCTATAATCATTGAAGAGCGCATCGTCGACTACAGTGGATTGAGATCCAACAGCGATGCTCATGAAAACCCTACCTCGTCTATCCAAATTCTTGACGGAAATTCTTGGAACATCATTCTTGAAACCCAAACTACTAGTCGAAATTGAGCTCCTCCTGAGGGAAATAGAAGGAAGCACAAGAGATGAAGAGGCCATAGTGGAAAACAACGGAAATTTCGTGAAGATCAAGAAGGAAGATGGTATGGATCGATTGAGATTGAGAGAGGGGGAATGATTGTGGTGAAGACGCAGAAGAAGGTTATACTGCATTAATAAATTTATCAAATTGAAGGGAACTGCTGGCGGAATTTACGAAACTAATGGAGAAATTGGGCAGAAATGAAGACATTGGAGTTAGCTTCACAGCCCAACGGCTATACCGAATGGGTGGGACCATTGGTCACTCCACTTTATACTCCATATTCAATTTGGTTATCAAACTTATTTTTGTCACAAACTCATCATTAAACTCTACAATTCATTTCAGTTAAAGCATCCATCTTAATTCCGTCTATGGCAATGCGATGGGCGGGACGGGACAGGACAGGATGGGGCCGTCTTGTTTAATTATTTTTTTACCTTTATAATATTTTATTTTATTTTTAAAATTTGATTTCAGCTCAAAAACACAAAAGTAAAAAAGATTCAACGGGTTTGATGAAATCGGGATGGGAATCATATTTCTCATCCCACCTCGATTATTTAAAGGGTCAGGCAATGTTGGGTGGGATATTGCCATCCCTAATTTCTGTCGCGATCGTCTATTTTGTGTATGGGTTAATTGTAAAAGCAATCTCCAATTTTTACCCTATTTTTAATTAGGTCACTTATCTTCAGTTTGAAAACAATTAAATAATTTTATTTGTGTTATGCATGCATGGCACTCCACTCCAACTTAAGAGTATTGTAGTGGTTATTGCTCACATTTCACCTCCAATTGTACTTGGGCCACTTAACTTTAATTTAACAGCAATTAATTTGATATTTTAGAGGAAGATGATGAGTCAAAATTTGATCATTGAGATGAAAACCTGAAAAAATCGTTATTTAAAATTACAATTCGTCAACTCTTTTATATAGTTTGACGGCGCCTAAACTGATTGCTTTGATTCATGTCATAATAAAGTTGATTGGCTCGATTGTTGCAAATTATCAGTGATCTAATTGAAGTTGGGCGATTGTCATTTCAAGTTTGGACTATCCACGTACATTAAAATCAACTTTTTCTTTTTTGATCCCCTTTAAATACACAATTTCTCCAACATATTACATACAACTTAAACATAACATGTTTTGCATTTTTTAACCCTAATAAAGGCAAATCGTGTTAATTTTCATCTGTCGCTCATGTCATAGTAAATATAGGCATATCGAGTTAGAAAAGTTATTAAATTTCATGTGTCACTCATGTCACAGTAAATATAGGCATATTGAGTTAGAAAAGTTAGTACCACACTTAAAGATCTTGCCCAGGAAATAATCGGCTGATTTTCCAAACTGATTCATACCACCTCAAGCACTCTGAAATTTTTGTTTCCAATTCAATTTATTCAAGTAATTATTGTATACAAGAGGAGGACTGACCCTACTTCTTGACTCTACACCAACGATTCAAATGCATTTCAAGAAAGCTGGTTCTATTACAGAGCTAGCAAGTATATATATCTGACAATAACACCATAGCTGGCTGTCTTAATGTTGCTATATGACTCGTTCAAAAGACTTGAGTAAATTCCCACTTATAATGCATTGTTCGCCCTCAATGAATTTTACACACAGCAGAGCAGCAGCTTTGGCACAACCACCGGATTTTCCCTGTGAACACTTGAATGTACTCAGTATAACAATGATGATAACCACAGCAGCTTCTTGAATGCAAAACAAAAAACGCTCCCTCTGCTTCTTGTTGGTTTGTGCTTGTGTCATGCTCTGAGAATTAACTAGAGTAACTAATTAGAATTCTGCATTGGATAGGCTCGAAGGTGAACATCTGGGAAAGAAATGCTACAGCAGTCAGCAAATCTAATTTGCTAAAACAATAACTTAGTGGATAATATAGAAGAAACATCGTATTTGCTTTACCTCGAAGCCTAGTCTTCTGGTCTCTATGTATAATCAACAACTTGAAGCATACTACCATGTTTATCTCCTTTGCTCCTTATTGCCCTTGCTTTATCTTCTCTTATTTCTAGAACCTAGTGAAACAAAAATCAAATATGACCCTTATCTATCATATCAAGCCACCATATTTGACTTTTTATCTTTAGTATGGGACCCATAACGGCTATATTTTTCATTCTTATTTTTACAATAATGTGGCTCAAACGGGGGCTATAATTTTAGATAAATTTTACAACATTGAAGCTTGAAGATGTACATAAATGAATCAATCTCGATGAAGAAATTGATACAGCTATTGCTGTGAATCACTTTAAAACGTAATAGACGCAAATTGAGTTAAGGTTGCAGATTAGCACCATAAAGTTGAAACAAGAAAATGAAGTCTACCTCGGGTCTTGAATCAAGAACTCCGCTGGACATCCCCACATCAATGCGCCATATAGTACAGTTAAATTCACTGCAGAACAACCAAACCGTCATTCAATCTACATAAGATCAATGCAAATCAACAACCCTAAGAAAGGACACCGAGGATGGAAAATCAACCTTTGGTTGTATCAAGTGACATCACGTTGATGTCATCGGTTTTTACAAGAATAAAGAGTTCAAGAAATGATCAAGATTCATTACCAATTCACTCCTGTAGTTTGTGGAGTATGCCCTACCACCATTGCTTTGGCACCTACTGCTTGGAGTGTCTCTTCAAGAATGGATTGGATCTGATTAGAATCAAAGTTTAATCTGTATCAGCATTTTCTTTCGGAAGAAAACAAACACTGACACAAAAAAATTAAGTGGCCAGCACTCCAATTTTATACCAGTACCCAAAGGAACTACACCATCTGGATTGTACCTTTGGCGAGTTTTAAAGGAATCAATTGTTCAACAAAGAAAGTCTCTTCAACCAGTGTGTAAATGAACTCAACAAAAGGGACTAAAAGCAGCTTATAGATGGATTGTTTACTCCTTTTACTTTGGATCCCATGAAATGAAATTGAATAATTAAAAGGGTGTGAAACAATAATACAGACTACCTGATCAATTTGATAATCTTCCAAATCCAACATGTCTCTGGAGTATAGACGACTCCACACTACACTGTCATACCCTCTGGTGGCTATGAAGGGGAATTGCGGACAATCATCACACTCATTGAGGCCTCTCATCCAATGAGATACTTCTCTGTTCATTCTCTCTATGCCATACGCAACTGCAGCATGAACAATGACCATGTAAGTCGTTAATTTTATAATCTATTGGGATGTAATGAGCAACATATATAGAACAAATAGATCTATTTACCGTGATGAGGAAGAAGGCCACCATGACAGAAGACCCAATCATCAACCTTGAGAACAACTGGATGTCGTGCCAATTCGGACGCCAATGGACCACCTGGTCTTAGGAGAACCGATCTTGCAATAACCCCCTTCTGTCGCTGTCCTAATGGGTGATGACTGAATTAGGACAGAAACAGCACAGGTGCAGAAAACTGAAAGAAACTACTTACTTTTTCTTTTCATAAGAATAACTATATTGTACGAGCATAAGATAATGTTACAATTTAAAATCTCAATATCTACTGGAAGCTTCAGACAATGTTCACTTTGATGTTTCAATGGCGTTTTGTCAAAGCTTATTCACAGGAGAAAATTTTGTCAAAGTCCAATGCAAAGCATCTGGCAAAGCTAATTCCAAAAGAGAGAATTTATCTTGAGGATAGTAAAATCAAAGTATAAGTATGTTGATAGTGAGAAAGATCTCCAATCTACTCTTCTGGCAGCTCAAAGTTGAGGACAGCGAGATTCTGAATGAAACTGTCTTTGTTACTGAATAAGGGCCAATCAATATCAGGCCCTAGTGAATCTTTCTAGTACTGAAACTTGTCCCGAATGTTTCTTTTAAAGAATAGAAGAACAAAGGATTTAAATAGAATGCAAACACACCATGGTCATGCCTACAAAACAGAAAGTGAGTCATGGAAATTGGATTTGAGTATGCACTTCGGCTTCGAAGTATTTCACATTCTATTGGTTTTAACATCCGTTGATGGGATCACAAAAGGTTTTGGATGAGCTTTTGAATCCATAGTTTTGAAACAATACAAAAACAAGTGAAGTATTGAGAGGATTTCAGGGCCAGCATAAACAATTGTAAAATGCTTGATACCCAGAAACTATCTAAAAGAAGTACGATGATTCCTTAATGTGATTTGAAATCCGTAGTTCAAAATTACTCTTACCATATTTTGCAACCCCTTTTGGTACACAGCATCTCAAAGTTCCTATAAATTGAAATAACTGAAGATTTAATCTCTGTAAACAACATACCTTTACTAAATTCCATGGACCCCAATTATTTTGTGAAGCCTGACGATGTTCTCTCCACCTATTAGATACACCAAACCAACCACCAAATGCTTCTTCCCAATTATGGTCACAGTATTCCAAATATTCAAGGAAGTCCACACACTCATCGAAGGCACCTGAATCAACATATCTAAAATCACCTTCTACATTGATGGTTTCATGATTTCCATTGACCTACAATTATCAACAGGAAAATACCATTTTATCAGCTATATCCATAGAACTTCAATGAATTAGTAGTTTCTAATCAGGCTCGAGTATTTCTCACATTGTATATTAGTAACATTAGATGAAGATGCTAAAACCATTTAACCACATTATGCTAGTATAACAAGACATTCGCAAAATGTTTTCTTTATGCAGACAAGAATATTAAAGACTGGAGAGTACTAGCCAAGAACAAGGGGACAAGAACAGACAAAGAAAATAAGAACAAAAACCTGGAAAACTGCGCCACCATTAGCTTTTGCTTGGATATCTAATGACTTCAACAAGGATAGAATTGCAATTTCATCATCACCCCTATCAAGTATATCTCCAAGCTGAATCAACACCTGGTGGCAAATGTAGAGATGCAATGGTAAAATCTCTTGCGATTTGATGATAAAATTCTTCACTTGACCAAAATGTAAAACTTAGTTTATACAGTTCTTCTCCAACTGTTTGTATAAGCATCCAAAGGAATAAGTGAAAGATCTACCGTTTCTCCACCAACCCATAAGTTACTTCCATCACGACTTAAGACACCAGCCATCTCAAGAGCATATCTAGCTTTATCCAGATCTCCATGCAAATCCCCAACTAAGATTCAGTTAACAATTAAGTTACACGGAGAATGAAAAATGTAGTGTTGCAAAATACATAATAAAACTGAAATTCAAAAATCAACTACTAAATTTGGTATTGGAAAATGCACTGCAAGACATGATTGTGTTTTGGTTACATCACATATTTATTATAATTTTCTGGACACTCACTAATTAACTTCTTTAATCCAATACCTCGTCAATAAACTTTACAAGTTGGATTATATAACTGAAATGACTAAACATCAACTCAAACAGATATATAAAACAAGAATTGGAAATATATAAAATAAGAACAAGAACACAAGATTTACTTGAAACCCAAGACGGGAATAAAAACCACAGGCAGATGGTGGAGGAGAAAATTCACTATATCAAAGATGAGTGCAGGAGGTGCGGCTACTCCGAATATATATAATACAATGGAATACTAACACATATTGGAGTCCTAATAAAACATGCCTAACATACAATGGAGTCCTAATCAAATAGGCCCTTCTTTCTACTACCAGCACAGACCCTCATTTTTTCCATGATTTTAGTTTCACCACACACGTACCACAAACTTTTCGACCCGGCCAAACAGAATTTGGGTCACGTACTCTAACAGTATAGCTAGTAGTATCCTTTGGTAATGCATGTACTGCCTATAAAAAACAGAGTTCATAGATTGTACCGGCCACAATTCGACGACCTGGAGCAGAAACGAAAGTGGGTGGATGGCCATTCACAACAACGGGCGATCGAGTGGATGATGATGCAGGAGTAGTGATGGTTGTTGAAGTGCAATGTAAATTTGAACAAGGAGGTTGAGTTTGATGATGAACAGGTAAAGAACAGCTTAGCCTTAGAGAGACTGATGCTGCAGCAGCAGCCATGAAACAACCACTCATCATCATTCAATCCTTCATTCTCTTTCTGCTTTTTCTTTACTATAAATCTTATTTTTGTTTACAAATGAAAGAATTACGTAAAGCTTTTTGTTTCGAGTTCTTGGAAAGAGGATGTAAGTGTTTCACTTCTAACCACGTATTTGGCATCTTTATCTCTTTCTTTCTCTTCAACAAGAGTTGCTTTTTATTCGTTTTGGACTAAACTACCCTTCTGCTTTGGACCTTGAGATAGACAATTGAACCATAACATGTTCGATTTTTAAATTTAAGCATCCTAATGCAATAAATAAAATTTAACTAAAAGAAAACAATAACTTAGGGGAAAAAAAAATCTATTTCAAGACATGTTTTATAAATACATTTTATACATGATCAAGACTGACATACAAGGAAGTAAACTTCGGAAAAAGAGTTCGAGAATTGTCGTTCTCATTTGACAAAAAATATTTTCATTTGAGGTGTAAGAATTTTAGTTGTGAATTTGAACTCTAGAATCAAAATGAAAACAAAAGCTAGTAGGCTAGGAACATGTTTAGGAGTGCTTAAAAGCACTTTATAATGCATTTTTTTAAGTAGCACTCGCACTAGAAATTGATTGAAGATCCCTCGATTTATTGGAGCTGGAAAATATTCAGTGAAGCCCAAGAAAGGAACTATTATAATGCAGTAGGCTCTAATTGTATTTGGAATAAAAATCCGTTCTACATAACTTTTGCTTTCTTGCTATTTTAAAAGTGATTTTAAAAAAAGTCTCATTAGATCAACTTCTTTTAAAAGTTATTCGAATCTTTTGACTTTTCAAAAGTCATGTCAAACGAACACTAAGAGTTGGCAGAATTTTCTGAAAATCATTCTCCTCATTGAATCTTAACAACTTTATCTGAATCTTCTCCAATTCTTGCAGTTCTGCTTCTCACTTAATTTCTACTGTCTGCTCGGGTAAGGTCTGAAGTTTAATTTTTGCATCTTAAGAAAGTTGGGGAGGGCATGAGCAAGATTCTAATTGGCTGTATTTAAGGAGAAATATGAGGCTTATTTCCAAATCACACCCATCCCAAACGCAGTTGAATACATGAAATAGCATCAGATTCACTTCTTCAGTTACACCAGATGGAAAAAACACATAATAACATTCCAACAAGCCCTCCAAAATATCTTGGTCCAAGATGCTACCATAAGCATAACTCCACAAGCAACTTGTTATATCAACCCATAATACTGTTTTCAACCAAAAATTAAACTTGTGACCGGAAATTGGACTTGAAGTTTGACCAAGCATACACATATACGAGGCATTACCATTTACCACCCCAAAATCAGAATAGCAAGAAGTGGGTGGCAACCAAGTTGCTGCGACACTTCTATTCGTCAAACTGTACAGGCTCATTCTTCATGTAGATGGAAGAGGCCCTTCATCCTTCTCGGCACTTTCAGATACCTTCTCCTTGCCAGCCGCGGGGGCCTCCTCGGTTTTCGCTTTGGCTTTTTCTTTATCTTCCACTTCGGTTTTATTATCTTCAACGCTTAACTTCTCTAGCAGCCCAGCCGTTGCAGAAGCATCTTTATTTTCCTCTTTCTTTTGGGATTCAGCAACCTCTTGAAACATTTCCATGAAGGTTTTGCAGTCTAAAAGAAATCAGAAACGTTATAATACAAAATTAACAAATATGATAAGAAATTTAAAATTTTGACATTCAAGAACACAAAAAAGGAAGTAATGTTGAAATAATATGTATACGTGGAGGAAGCAAATCTCCCATCTTCAGGGAGAAAGGATATCACTATTTTACAAGAAATTGTATCTAAGCTGGTAATCCCCAAGCAAGGTCAATTCTTAGATATTACAAAACTTGTTTGGATAAATACATCTGTATCTTGTTCCTCTTCCATGTATTCTAAATGAATTCAATTCAATGAGACACAGTTTTGCTGTTTTTACAGTAGAAGTGCCTTCTTCTGAGCATCTCCAAAACAATCATTAAAAAAATGGTTATGAGGTGAAGTGTATAAGAAACAGAAATCAGCCACTAACGAGAGTATAAAGAGATGAGATGAAATCCATCGGCAACAATAACAATTGATGCGCACATAGTGGGTACAGAGCTTTTGCGTGCTAGGTGCTGGAAGAACTATTAAAGCAAACATAATCACCACCAATTCTAAACTTGTCGTGGTGGGTATTGTAACTTATAAACATTACATTACTTCAATGTTCTTAACGGAATATCCACAAAACCATATAGCTTGGAGGTACTTTTGACAAGTTGAAATCAGCAACAAGCTTAATTATCCTTGTGCAATTGGAGAAGTCAGCTTTTCTACGTCACTTTCTTTTTCAGATAACATGAGTCACATTGCACGAGGATAAATAGCTTTCTAACCACATAAGTTATTCTCTGACACTCAGGATCCAGGACCAGGAGTTAATAGAAAATAGTGAAAAGAGGAATCATATAATATCATTGTAGAGCTGGATTATAAAAGAAAGGCATTTTAAAAGAACAAACAAAAAGAAGTCATCAGTCTATCTAAATAAAGGGTGCCGAAAATATATAGAACTCATTAGAATCTGATGTATTTTTTATTTTTTTTTACTAATTACTACAATTTCAACAGATAAGAAACTCAAAACAACCCAGCACGTTAATGATTCACTAAACAAAACTTATCTAATGTAAAAGGCAGAGATTAGTTTTTCACATGAATACTGACTCTGCATATCAAATGTTTGTACGAGAACTTTTAACCATTATCAGGTTAACTGGTGAACTTTTGGTGAACGCTTTTAGCATATGGAGCACATTTTCTTTTTTACAGTTTGACATCAATCATCTCCTTATGGAATAGAAATATGGTTTCAAATTCTTAACTATTGTACATATTTACCCAATTAAAAAAAGAATTGGAAGGTATAAGAGTTTATACATATATTAAAACACGGACATAAATGAGAGAGAGAGAGAGAGACTCTTAATAATGGCAGATGCAGCATGACAAATAGAAATGCATAACATAAAAGGCATGGTCTCATTACCTGTAGTTTTATTGCACATGAACACACACCCAATAACTCCAAGTCAAGAATTTCTTTCCACTTACTATTCCTGGTTAACAGATACATTCTACGCAACATTTATATCATGTCAATTACGTAGATCATGTCAACCAAATTGAACTTTTTGGCTCTATATGAATTCACTATTTGGTGGGACCCAAGGAACATAAGTATCATCCAACCAATATTTATTTGGGATTCTGGTAAGTAAAAATTTAAGATTGATATTTCAATTCAGAAAAAAATAGCATGGTATCAGAAAGAAGGTTTTAGTAGCTGGTTAGCACAACTGAAGAAGAAAAAATAACCTCGTGTCAACCAAGATCATTAGTTGGAATCATAATGTTGGAATGGTATCAGAAATAAGAGCTTCTTGGCTGGTTAGAAATCCTTATAGTAACTAAAGACACTACATTCCAATTCCAGCTTAATATCGTACTAATACTGATAATCCTAGTCTAAAGATGCTCTTTTAACAAGACAAAGTTCAAATATATAGTAGATCACTCACTCATCTAACTGCCATTAGATTTTATCTATACCGTGAAAGATGATTGAATCACAAGGAAGAGTTTAAAATGATCTATAAGGAAAATGGGGCAAAATACAATCAAGCTAAGCACCTTAATTGGTAAACTCGATAAAGAAACTCCTCTAGAGTCTTAAGTGCACAGTGTAGATGCTGATACGATATTGTTGTGTGATTGTTTCAATTGATAAATTTTTTTTGCACCCCTAATCAAGAAGGTAATATAATAAGAAAGTATAAAAAGAATTATTACAGGTAATAGAGAGAGAAGCCAGTTGAAAGAAAAGGAAGGAGGAAATGGGTGAACATATTATCTAACAGACGACTAGTGTGAGTAAAAAACTAGTTATGCAAATTGATTTTCACCATGGTCATGTGACTACTTCCCGCACAGCTTCGGCACAAAAAAAGAAGAATGTGCCACCTACACTCCCTCACACGCATACTGACATAACTAGCACATAAAAGAGAGGCGTCTCCTGTAATCTCTCCACCACATCAGGTACGGACTAAGGCCACTTGTCCACCTCTCTTGTAACAGAATGTAAGATTATGTCATTATAGCCCTGTGTGCTCCAACCCACAGGTATAGCTCTCTGATCTTCTTCCAGCCCTCTTTATTCTTTTGAGATTACCTCTGAAGGACTTTCCGATCCTCCACCGACTTGAGCATTTGAGTTTTCAGCGATGTCCCCAGGTCGTTTTTAAGTCACCAAACTTCATATATATAGATAAGTTTCTAACCTATAAATTTAGTTGTACCTGTCGGTAGGTATTATCTTTCCCCTAAACCAAGTTGGTTTCCTCAAATCTACAGATGCAGATACATTTTTCTTTCACTATGGTTAAAGTTACGAGACAATTATCACACAACAGTTAATATATTAGTAACTGAATGAAAAGGAAGTAACCAGATTCAGCTAGTCGCATTCATGTTTAACCATGAGCCAATTACAGTGCCACATATACATATACTGACAAATTATAATAAAATGTGTACCTCACAAAATTTAACTCAAGCATATGTGAAGTTAGAGCTGTTTACAGCAAGAGATAAGTAGATAAATCAAAATAAAAATCAGGCAAATAATTCAGGAAGACACGTGCACATACTGATCAAAGAAAGAAAAAATTAACGAAGTACAAATAGATAGTACTTACTCTCTACAGATGGAAATCTAATACAAAACATTTCATCCTTGAGTTCACCATCTGCAAAATCCGATGCGTGCCACACACAGGACTTGTCATTCCCTGCATGCTCCTGGACAGTCATTGTCGACAGAACTGCCGAAAAAAAATATAAATCGCATTACCCTACAACAAATCTTGAGAAACAAACAATTAAAATACTAATTACTTATGTAGGAAATGAATGAAAAACAAACCGAGATGATTTGCGCAGATCTTGAGGGTTTTAGATTGGCGCATAACAAGGCGAACTTTCCCAGTTTCCTTATGCTTGAGGAACTTGACAGTACCAGCGCCTCTCTCTTTCCACTGGTTTCCGTCTTTGTCAAAACGATAGAGCTTCGCCTTTCTAAAAAAAAAATAATAATAATAATAATAATAATAATCAATTAATTAAAATTTGAAAAAGTGACGAAATTTAAGCTTAAAACCCTAAACAGATGGAGAGAAAGTTGGTACAGATCGAGGATGGGCTGTTCTTCTTCTTCGCCAGTAGTGACGTAAATCTCTTCGAGCTTGACAATGGGGGCGACTTGTGCTCCTGTGTCCTCATCCTCCGCTCCTGCCGCTGTCTCTTCCTCCTCTCTGTGCTTCGAATCGTTGCTTGCCATTTCTTATTGTCAGTAGAGAGTAAACAGCGATAATTGATGGTCGTGTGAATTTATAGTTTATATGCGAGTGCTCTATAAGACGTGGAAAATTAAAATGGCTCAATCTAAATTCCACTGAGACTCGTGAAAAACGAATATGAATAAAGATATATAAGTACAAAATCTTGTTCACATACTCACTTTCACAAAATTAGCAGATTTCACATGAATTTAAAAAATGTTGACTTGTTGTCCTCACCCCCGTTATGAGTAGTAAGTACGAGAGTTTGTAAAAAAAGTTTGTACATGTAGTATGATTCAAGGAATATTATCGCTATTAAATGATAAAAGCAAAAATGCCCTTAAATATATTATACAATTAAAAAATACAGTTGTGTTTAAAAGACATTACTATCTTTTTAGTTAATAATTAAAAATCAAACACTTCCTACTTAAAATTTCAAAATCAGTTAATTTTTCTTATGTGCTTATTCCAACTCAGATAAAAACACTTTCATCTTTCATCTGATTGTTTGTCAACTATTTTTTCGATTATTTTTTATTACCTCTAATATTTTTCTTATAATTAAAAGTTTTGTTTCGTCATGCAGATATGGTCGTAATCCCAATTTGTTATTTTAGTAATTTCAAATTAGACAAAAAAAATCAATGGGTATAGAAACAGAAGAGTGATGGACGTGGTAGTTTCACGATTTTCATAACATCAAGTACATCATATACAGAACTCTATAATGATTTGTAAAACAAACTGAATGTTGATCACTCTCAGTACCACATGGAACTGAGATTTAAATTCAACGAACATACATTCATTTCGATTCCACCTATAAGGATTTCTTCTAATGCTGAAATGAATTATCTACTTGAACTGAAGAAAATGTATACGACTCCTATTTACGTGACTCGGATGGAGGGGATCATAATGTTAATGATTTTTGGGATACAGTGAAGATAACTTGTGAAGATGACGTGGTTATTCCCTAAACATTTACACACACAATTCCCTTAGTAGTGCACGACAACGATAATGAAAATGAAAATACTTTTATAAATAAGGATTTGATTGTTTTATCTCGTCAAAGACATGATTGGGGTGGGACCATGGAGGTCGGATCGAGTGGATCGTCCTCTAACTCCTCACGTGTGATTCCGAATAGTGATGATTTGTATGTCAAACAACTGTTTGAAACGAAAAAAAATTGCAAGAAGTTGTGCACCTAATTGCACAGAAATACGACTTTGAGTTCAAAGTGAAAAAATTGAACAAGTCGTTGTTGACGATCATCTGCTTAGACGACAGTTGCTGTTGGCGATACGAGCAACGAAGATAAACATGAACGAGTGCTTTGTTGTTCGCAAATATATACGAGAACATACTTATGAAGTTGGAATTCATCAAAATGATCAGAGTCAAGCCCGAATTTGATTTATTGGTCGATAGATAATGCAAAAGTATTATGATCCACAGACGATTTACAAACTATCGAACATTATTAACGACGTCTGTCAAGATTATGGAGTGTTCATAAGCTATTAGAAGGCAAACTAATACGTATTGGAGGATTTAATGGGCTCGACGGAGAAAAGTTATGCTAAATTGGCCAGGTATTGCCATAACATAGAGAAAATACTCCTGGCTTCGCATTTTTATTGAGAGGGAAGGTAAGAATTGCTTCAAATTCTTCTTTATGGCTCTTGAACAATACATTTGAAGATTTCGAAATACTATGCGACCCCTAATCTAGTCGATGGTACAACTCTGAAATCTAGATATCAAGGTAAGTTGATTATTGTTACATATCAAGATGTCAACATCCAAATTTACCCTCTTGCATTCGACATAGTCAATATGGGGAATGATCTGTTGATGTGTTGATTCACTAAGTTGAGGAAAGTAATTGGGAAAGTCGAGGACCTTACATTTGTAACCGATTTGGGATCGACTATAATAAATGGTATCGCTGAAATTTTTCCTGATGTACATCATGGGTATTGCATGTACCATGTACAAGGCAACTTAAAGACCAGGTATCGAGGCAAAGATATCATTTCATTGTTCAAGAAAGCAGTCAAAGCTTACAATGTTGAAGAGTGTAATAAGTTCATGGTTGAAATACGAAGTAAATCGTTCCAAGCGTGAGAGTATCTAACAAAAATGGAGATTGAACATTGGGAGCGCTCATATTTTTCAGGAAGTCGATACAACATGATGACGTTAAACAATGCGAAGTCTCTCAATTCATTATTCAAGAGGGATCGAGAATTACCTATCATCGAACTGATTGAGAACATTCGTAATAAGTTGCAACAGTGATTTCACGATCGACGTGCGGAATCACAGAATTACACGAGTGTGCTAGTCTCGATGCAAGAGAAAAAGCTTTCAAAGCCTGCAGAGATTGCGAGAAAGTCGAATGTGAAACCACTGAATGAGTTGCGCTTCTCTGTGGAATGTGCACGTAATAGGTATACATGGTAGACTTGACTGATGATACACGCAATTGTAAAAAATTTCAGTTAGAGAATTTTCCCTTTGAGCATGCAGTCGCGTTGGCTGTGTATTGAGAATTTGCAACGAGAACATTGTGTTCTCATTAATACACGGCTGAATTTTGGAGAGCAGCGTAGACTATATTTCATCTACCAAACGAAGCCGAGTGTTCTCGATCATATTCGTCCACTCAATACATTGTTACCACCTTTCATTGAACCGCGTGATCTAGGACGTCCAACTACATCTAGAATACCATCTATTGAAAAATTTTCTTAACCGCATAAGTGCAGCAGATACAAAGTAGTAGGGCATATTTACCAATTTTGTACAAGTCAGATTTTCCTAAATGAGAGTTAAACCAATGTGTAATGATGTCTACCTAAATGAATAGTATTTACATTTTATTTTACAATATTCAAAAATACTTTGTAATCAAATAAACAATTGTTTTATATTACAAAAAAGAAAATTCAATGTACAAAAAAGAATAATTATAAAGAATTGTACATACATTACAAAGAATAATTACAAAAAATTTAGTGTCCACAAAAATTTTACATTATTTCTTTCATAATTACAAAGAATAAATTTATGAGTCACAATTAAATTCGTACAAATCGCACGCTAACTTATTCTACTAAACATGTATGCATGATTGGCTGATTCCATCAATTTTATGTGCTATACTCAAAAACTCATTATACTTAATTGTAAACATGTCACAATCGTCCCTACAAATGAACAATAATGTGTTAGTTTGATTTTGTGTAGATAAAAATTAATTTACAAATACTTACCAAGTAGCAACTGTTTCAAGTAGCTTTCTTTGGCTTCTGTCTCAACGCTGCGTCCAGATGGTAATTTATCTTGCAAAAATTTAAATGTTAAAATATTGTATAATAAATTATGGAATAAAGCATAATAACAGGAAATTAAACGAACGGAATTGTAAGTAATATATGCAAGACGCAGATTTATTTTGTATCAACACTAATAAAAAATAAATGATTTACTAAAATGACAAAAAGGAAAAAAGGAAATTAAGAAAACAATTAAAAAATGAAAAACTAATCATGAACATAAAAATTAAAATTAAAATTAAAAAATTATTTAAATTAAATAAAGAATATAAATATTATTTAGGTTAAAAAATTAATTAAAAAAATTAACAGTCGGCCCACTAACAATCGTTAAAATTAAAAATTATTAAAATTGAAATTAATAAAAAATAATTTTTTTACCCTATTACCAAAAATTAATAATAATAATAATTAAAATTATAATTATAAAATTATAAAAATTAAATAAAGAATGTAAATATTATTTAATTAACTTTGAAACATCGTACAAAAATAAAAGGAAAAAAAATTAGGTTAAAAAATTAATAAAAAAGAAATGTTTTCCCTATTATAAAAAAATAATAATAAAAATAAAAATATTTAAATTTAAATTTAAATAAAATAAAGAATAGAAATATTATTAAGGAATTAAAATTGAAATTACATATTAAAAAAAATTAGGTTAAAGGACTATTTAATATGTTAATTTTTAATTTAAAAATATTCTTTTAGTTTTAAAAATTGAATCGATATTTCTTAATTTAAAAATTTTAACCAAAAAATATAATGTATATATAAAGAATAACAACAAACAAAATAATTAGAAAAACATAAAATAAATTAAATAAAACGAAATTGAAAAATTTAATAAAGAATAAAAATATTATTTAAAATTGAAAATATTAAATTATAAGTCAAATAAAAAAAGGGGAAAAAAGTGTGCCTGATAAAGTTGACCCACTAACAGTCAAACCAAAGACTGTTAAACTCGATTATTAACAGTCAGCTTTGCCGGTTGATAACAACCTATCTTTTTCTGGTCGAAAATAGTCCTTTTCTCGTCGAAAATCGCAATATTCGACGAGAAAAAGCTCCCCTCCACCCCAAAAACTAATCATAATCTAAATTAACAATTGAACTCTAACCTTGTAGAAGAATAAGTTAGTCGGCCAATTGGGTTGTGGGTGACGTTCCTGACTTTTGATTGATTGCTGACTGACTGGATCCCAACTGTAGTGAGTTTTCTTGGTTCACGTCACTCAAAGCAAAAGAAGACAATTGAAAATGAAGGAAAATAAGGGATATTTTTGGGTTTTGATCTTTAAATTCAATTATTTATTATTATTTTTTTAATAAAAGCAGTCAAATGCCACTAGGGATGTAAACGAGCCGGGCCGAGCCGGCTCGCGAGCCTAAAATTTCGGCTCCGGG